CCCCCCCGCGGGTGCAAGTTTACGGATTTTTAGCAAAATTTACGGACTTTTGAGGCTTTTTATACAGGTAAACGTCCGAAGAGGTTGACATGTATGAAAATGTATAAAATTTTGGAGAATCATGACAGAACGTCTTTATTTAAACTGCAGCCTCAGACACCTGTCCCCCCAATATAGTATGATTTGTTTTTGTACAATGACAGTAAAGAAAGGCATTCTGATTCAGATTATTTTACTGCTTATATATTTTTTGTAGTGTTTTGTATAGATATAAAATTTTAATTGCGATTAATCTCAAGATATTTTTGCAATTTATCACGATTAATCTCAAAAAAATTTTTTTAGAAAGGATCACTCTACTATGGCTGAGTGTATACCTTTGAATGTTGCAATACATGTGTGACTCACAATGTACAGTTTTCTTTTTCTTCCTTTTAACTTCTTTTTGCTTGTTGTATTCTTTTCCTGACATCATCATAATACTCATTTTTGAATTACAAAAAAAATCTTGAATTTTTGATTTATTTTCATTATGCTGCACAAAACTGAACAGACTCAAATATGTTTAGAGCATTTTAGGAACAGTTTTATTTTTTTAAAAAAGGGGGCAATACATTTTTAAAAACTTTAAACAAATAAGGCAAATCAAGCCGGTCTTACTTTTTCCTTTTTCTCCCACACGCTGGTCAGCAGAACCTCCCTCTGTTTGTTTACCTGGTTTTAAACTGAAGTGACGTTTCAGGCTCAAACTGCTCCGGTGGTGAGACAGTTTAGCGTTGCAGCACTTACAGATAACTTTACTTCCTCCCAGCCCACCGTTGGGAAAAGTTTTAAAATAAAAAATGCCCTGAAGGATCTGGCAGCTTCAGGCATGTTTCCTCCTCAGCTGCTGCTTGGATTCACGTGAGCGGCTGCACGCTCAACAACAAAGGCTCTCATTGGATGAGATGCACGATGAAGATTATCTAAAGCCAATAGTGATCAAGATCCCGCCTCCACGCTGCGACCACTGGGTTTGTGTGTCTGTGTGTGTGCGTTTTCACAGGCAGCACAGAGAACAGAGATCAGACGGAGAAATATGAAGAAACTGCGTTAATGCGCGCTAAAGAACTTATCGCCATTAATTGTCGGCTGCGTTAACACAATAACACGTTAATGTAGTTTTGTGTTAACGTCTTGAAACGCTGCAGTAGCTCAGCGGTTGGTGCTGCAGTCTCATAATCCTGAGGCTGCAGGTTTGAGATCAGTGTAAAACATTTTGTGCAAGTTTGCTCTGCGAAAGGAGCAGCTGAAAGCAAAACAACACTAATCGTCAGACATTTTTAACAGTTTGCAGAAAACAAAGCTGTAAATTAGCATCTTCCGCAGAAGTTCTGTAGTTTTCTGACCTGATTCCTCCCAATTTCTCACCAGCTGTGCACTTTTTCACGTCTCAGCAGCTGAATGAACTCATTCTGCCTCGTGTTCTGGATGAGTTTCAGCTGCTTCAGGGTTGAAATAAATTTGTAGCTGAAGCTCTAAGTACCTGGTGCTTTTATTCCACCACTAAAAAGAACATTTAACGCTGATTTAAATCTTTAAAATGCTCTGTTAGCTGAGGCAGAGTGCAGAAACAGGTCAGTGTGTCGGAGGTTCCTGTCTGTAACTCACCACGAGCGGCTGCTGCAGATGGAAAGTCTTCAGCAGAAGGTCACGAGACGTCCTGCTGGCTCTCTTGTAGCTGCGGCCGATCATTTTGTTCAAGTCATGGAAGTGATTCAGGAGCCTGCAGAGTCAAACAGCAATGACAAACAGGAGAATAACAGAAGGCCAGTTCTGGTTTTTAAAGTTTTCATGGCAGGGGTGGGCAACCAGTAGCACACGGATGACTTCAGGTGGAAGTGTTTTTGCAGCTCCTAGATTAACTTTTGAAAATTACAAAAGTGTAAACAAGAATATAACTGTTCTACGCGCATTTAGGCATGAAATATGTGAAGTTACTCCACTGGATGTTGGTTTTATAAACATAAACACACAAACATTTTTTAAATTGTTTTAACTCATTACAGTTCCTCATATCAACCACTTGGTGGCACTGTTTCATATTTCTAAATTAAATTAAAATACTCCACAGCCACACTTCCAGTCTTTTGTTTGTTCACACAGTAGCTGAGCTTGCTATATGTGGAGGACTGAACATGACATTATTAGAAATAAAAGCAGAAATATATAATGGACCAATAAATAAATAAATAAATAAATAAATAAATAAATAAATAAATAAATA